CTCAACAAGCGCCTCGACATCAAGCCGTCGTTCGAGGACTTTGACTTGGCCAACCAAGGCTTCATCTCGCACACCAAGTTTGAGCGCGTGCTCTCGGTCTTCCAGCTGCTGCCGGCCGACGCGCCGACGTGCCGCGCCCTCTGCATCAAGTTTTCCGAGCGCGGGAACGCACCGATGCCGGGCGTGAGCTCGACGTGCGACGTCAACTACCGAGCGTTTTTGCACGCGCTCTCGCAGCTCCAAGGCGGTGCGACGCGCGTCCCAGGTACTCGACCACCCTCCTCCGTTTACCAATACAGGAACGTCGACACCAATTCTAGGGGCGCGCGAGTACCGACTGCAGCTCGCGGCCGGGAGCCACATGGACGGCAATGCCGCCGCGGCGCTTCGCCGGTCGAAAGTAACGCCGCATGCGGTGCGCCTTCCGTCGCTGCTCAAGGACCTGCGGTATGCCTAATCGGACTCTCGTTAGCTCACGAACCGTCTCGGTGTAGGCTCCAAATCGACGCCAAGCGCGTTCGCATCAAACAGTTTTTTGCCGAGAGTGACCGACTGCGCACCGGCGACATCACCGTCGCCAAGTTCCACACCGCCATCAACCGCTGCGGCCTCGTTGTCAACGCCGACGACGTGCACACGCTCAACGCCGCCTTTGCGTCGACGAGTCGACCGGACCAAATCGACTACCGCGCCTTTCTGGACGCCATCGAGGCGACGTCGCACACGGAGGTTGGTCCCGTCGTCGGTCTCGTCAAGTTTTAACTGCATTGCTCACGAGACGTGGTAGGACTGCCGCGACGAGGTGCCGGCGCCAGAGAAGTCGCCCGCGCTGGACGCGCTCCTTGGGCGCATTCGAACGGCGGTCGAGTTTCGCCGGTTCGTGGCATGACAATGAACAACATTGTCATGTGGCTTGTAGACTCAACATGAAGCCGTACTTTGAAGACTACGACCACAACTTTCTCATGCACGTGACCAAGACGCAGTTTGCCGCCGTGCTCAACCTCATGCGCATCGAGCTCTCGCCGGCCGAGACGAGCTTGCTCACGAACGCGTACGCTGTGCACCACGGACGTCAAGTCAACCCGGACGTGCACTACCTCCGGTTCCTCGAAGCCGTCGACCCCGTGTATAGACCGGTGCAGTAGTAGGAGGAGAGGATTGCACATAAGAAGACACTGCATGCAACTTGCAAACATACAGAATCCTGAAGAGACGACCGACGAGTGGGTGGTGGCGGCGGCTTCGGCGGCGATCATCGCACCCGGGTCGACGCCACCGACGGGCGACGAAGGATTCCAGGGACACCCACATCTGAACCGAGCCATCTCCAATGGCCGTGTCCCACGCGTCGCATGTGCCCTCGAGGCGGAAGGGATGGGCGGACGTCGAGCAAATCAGATGAGATGTACGTCGAGGCATCGTCATGGCCATAGAGCCGCGGCGACTGCAGGTTGCGCATCGCTGGCGGCCTTGTATAAAAGCGGCGCCACATCCGCCGACTTGCGTTGAAGTTGCCGGCGACTGCTGCAAGGCCATTGGTCAAAAAGGCTGGCTTTTCTCAGCCGCCGAGGGCCACTTCTGTGGGGTTAGGCCACCGTCACGGATTGGCTGAATGTCGACGCAAGAAACGCTATGATTGGTGGAAACGCTGCCACGGATCAGGTGGGTCTGGGGGCCAGAATTGCTTTACGCCTCCGACGACCAACACGATGGCGCAATGGTCCAAGCTTGCCGCGGCCTCGCGCGTGCTCCGCCGGAGCACGACCATGAAGGCGCCGCTCCTGCGCGCCTTTAGCTCGGCGCCGCACCCGTCCGAGTCGTTCATCAACGGCACCAACAACGTCTACGTCGAAGAGATGTACCGGTCGTGGACCAAGGACCCGTCGAGGTACATGGCCGCATATAAATGCATACTATGGCACTGAGCAGGATAAATGATGTAGCGTGCACAAGAGCTGGGATGTCTACTTTCGCCAAGTCGACCAAGGCGCGGTGCCCGGCGAGGCCTTCATTCCGCCGCCGACGGTCCAGGCCGGCGTGACGCCGGTCGTGCGCGGCGCTGCCGCCACGAGCCCGCTTGGCATCAACCACGCGCTTGGCTTGAGCTACTTGATTCGCG